AACAGTCATAAAAGAAGCAATTTTATAAAAAAAGGTGGGGCTTATTGCTCAGGGTTATCGGTTGATGAAATTAACGTCCTGGGCATTCCGAAGTCATGAACAGTTCTTACAGATTCAGGAGCGTCGTGCAATTACGTACGACGCGTGACTGACGAAAAGCAGACAGTACACGGAGAAATTGACGATACCACACATGGACACGATTTCAGCAAGACACTAGTATTATTTTAGCATCTCAGTGACGCTAGAGGAATTTGACAGCGTGGAACGTTATCTAGCCCCAAACCTCGACCTCAATATGAAATATAATATAGTCAAGGTTTGACGTGGCCAAAACGCCTAGAGACATGGGTTGAATGCAAGTCGGAAAATCTAGGCGCGCTGTTTTTTCAGGCATGAAAACCCACTTATGCCAGGAATAAATGGCGCTTTTGCTACGGGCACGAGGCTGTGGTAGTTCCGCGCGGAAAAGAATGTCCGAAAGTAATTAAAATGGTCTTACAGGGCACTTCATGCAGAACCCCGGATGTTAAATCAGCGGTGAGTCGGGGTCTTAAGATGAGACAAAAAAGCAACTATATATCGCTCTCTCCGGTTTTTTTAAATAGAAATAGACGACTGTGTGTCGTATTTCTCAAGTAAATCTGTAGCGGGGAAACAAAGACTAGCTGCAAGTTGTTGTCTTCTGCGCCAGGAAAGGTGGATAATGGAAGTACTTTGTGTGTCGCACTTTATAGATTGTAGTGTGTGGAATTGAAAGAAAACTGTAAGCCGCGAGTAAATGGACCATGATCTGGAGGTACGAGCGATAGATTACTTCTGTGGCGGTGTGACGGCACTGCTGATCAGCAATATAATGTGATGGACTTACCGCGCGAAGCAGCAACGCTACGCGCTTACGTGGCGAAAAAGATCATAACTGACTGGTGTAGTCCCAAAGGTTTGCTCAACACCTCCAAAACGTCGTCTAAAATCCCTCAGATATATATATATATATGCAAGGAATTTCACATGGTGAGTTTAACGAATTATAACCGTTGGTAACGATGGAGGAGCTAATCTTATCGTCCAAAATTGATGAATTTATCAATGAGGAAACTCACAGCACACTGGTAAATCGCATTTGAGTCGCGCTAGCTGAATCTGCTAAGCTTAATTACTTTGTTTATGACATGACGCTACTTGCAATGTAGTACGTCCTCGTCAAGTTAAGGGAACATATGCTTGTCTTCCTTTTTGTGACTAACCCAGAGCATGCATTTGATTTGTAAAGATACGTGGGCACCACGGCTCTTGTACAGTATGGCAACATGTTTATCCCATTTTGCCGATTATACTTTTGAGGTAAGATATAAGCCGGCTCAGCTTAATGTGGTAATCGAATCGTCTTCACCGTGAATTGCTGAATGTCACAAGAGTGATGTCGTCAATTGATAAGGCGATCTGTACAGCGTATGGAATTGTGTTGAACGGCTGAAAACTGTTAAAAGAGAACATTTGAGAGCTCATATTAGGCTTTACCCAGGCGTGCAATTCCACGTTACACTGCTATGCCTATATTCGACGCTTGCTACACTACAGAACTTCACTCAGCCTGTCGTGGTGCCCCACGATCGGGCCTTGAAAGTAATGCACTGTACAAAAAAAACTCGTGTGGCGGACACTAAAATAGGATACTGCTTAGCGACTGCTATGTCAATATGTACAATTGTTTGAGCATAATGTGCGCATGTGTAAACGTGTAAGCGTGTAAGCAGGTTGAACGCTTGCTGCATGCGGCGGCACGTTGACCAGCCTGTCAGTTCCGGTAAAGAGCTGGTAAATTATCAGTGTGAATCTTATATTCGCATCTCTAAAAGACGCGTCTGGTATTCATGTCACTGTGTTTTCTGCGGGTAATACGAACAAGATGCACCAACTGTAGTTGTTAGTTTGAACGGAGAGGTTACAGCCAAGCTCTACCTCAACAATGCGTTTAGCCATCATCCGCGCTAATCGCGAACTTTTTGCAGACGTTTTTCAAGCCAGACAAGATGTCAACTGTGATGATTCGCAAGCCGATGATAAGACCAAACGCAAGAAATACGTGTCGCGCGATATCCTTCGAAGCACTTGCGCGGAAAGACTGCGATGCAGAAAAGGATACCTCTGTCTCATTGAAATCGCGTAAAATATCGCAGTCCATGTGCTTACAGGCTTCATCCCTTCTAATGAATAAAATTAGTGGATGCTAGGATATCCTTCGATACCGTCACCAAGAAGTTCTTGTATTATGATGTACGAGCCGCCCATTTACTTCAAGTTGATGAGGCGCGAACAGTCAATTGATGGAGAAGTTTTGAGGAGGTCTTCAAGTTAAACTTTATGCTCGAATAAATCAGATTTCTCTGGATTCAACCTAAATTTACCCAAATTATTGCGTATCATATTCAAATTTTCATGGTATCACTAGACTTACCCAAAATTATGAATCAGATCCATTTGTAGGCTTTATATTTATAAAACCTAGGATGTAATGGGGTGACACGTACCCTTGAAGAAAGGGCGGATCACTCAAGATGGTGGGATCGTTCATAAGTGTGGATTATACAAGTTAGTGTAATCACTAAAAGGTGTGGCTATAGGTAGGCGTTCGCTTTGCTGATGCTGGCTTATAAATGCTTTGGGACGGAAGAGGCAGCGTGCTAGTGTGCAAACTGAGTCACATAAACAGTCGATACATTTGCCGGGTCTAGTACCTAGGATACATGCTTCATAAGTGACTTCAAATTAGCCAACAGCTCCCACTTCAAGCATAGGTGGTACTTCTAGGAGGTGGCCATATGTGGGTTGGGAGAGTAAATATTAGCGACTTTTCCCGCTACTTTCTGGTTACGAGCAAAAGTCCCAAACACATAGCCGTGAAGGAAGCTTTCCTTGTGAAACGGCCAGGCCGTGTATCGAGGTGTTTGGTCGGAACTTGAACTGCTCTCGTCGGACGGCACTTCCGCACATCATCATCAAGATTTCTTACAAGCGAATTGGTCACGATGGCGCTGATTTTTTTTTTGGGGGGGGTAATTGAGTTGTTTGAGCCAGCGCACGGAAGTAGACTGCTCCACGCTAGCTTGACGAACAATTTTGAGTATATTTAAATTGAATTACGTCATGTTTCGAGCAAGACTTGGTGTGCCTCTCGCGCTTGCTGTAGTTA